TTATATTTTCATAGTAGACTAACCTACATGATATCTGACCATAGCCCTGATTTTCCTTCCAGCTTTTAATGACTAATTTTAAGGTCTTTTAAATTTACCTTCTCCATATAGTCTGAAAGCCACCTAGATAAAGTGTTACATGTACTTAGGGAGTATCTACCTTGTTCCACCACCTGCACTTGCCACTGATAAATTCGCATTCAACAATTCACTACTCTTCTGTATCCCATAACACCCTATCTCATAGCAATTACAGGTTTAATGTTACCCATATCCTTGGTGTTCCTGGCATTATAGATACCTTGTTGTTATTTAAGTGCCATTGAGTCAGTTCCCACCCATAGTGACCCTGTATGAGGTTTCTGAGGAGCAGCTGATGAGCTTGAACTGCCGACCTTGCAGTTCAAACCGACTTTGCAGTTCAGCTCATTAACCCACAGCGCCACACCAGATACCTAAGGGCCTCGTTAATCAGGACTGGTGATGGCTCTGGCTCCCATGGTGTGACCACATTACATATTTGAGAAGGAATCTGAAGGATCTCACTGAGGATCTCCCAGAAAACAGAGAGAATCATCCCAGTGGAATTCCATGTCCAGTTTCCTTACCTCACACCAAAAGGTCTTTCTTAGCTATGTATCTAAATGTCTGCCAACTATCTGATTTTATGTTTTGTCTTTTGTTCTTGGCCCATCTCTCTCTCTCTCTCATTTAGATACTTTGAGTCCATTTTAAATAACACTTATTCTGATACCTGCTGGTTGGACTGGTTTCATTGACTGGCAAATAAAAGCTTTGCAGTTATATCTCCTGCTGTTTTGGGATACAGAAGCACTTGGCTTTTCCAGTCTTTTTAGGATCAAATATGTTTTCAAATGGAGACCCCTTCATTAAGTCTTAGGACAAAGATAAGACAATGGCAAATCATCCAGATTAGAGAGACCATCAGCATGAGGCCATAATGGTGTCTAAAGGATTCATGGTCATGTGGCTATTTATAGAAGAAGGAAAACAAAAGAAATTCATCACAACATCATGATTGGTGGCATATCTGTTCAACACAGTCACAGGCAGAAAAGAGACCATGATTGGGACACTTAAACTACTGCAGATTTTAGAAGTTCACAGGATTGGGTCTGGGTTCATCTAGTCACTTTGGTCAGGGTATGGCTCATGACCATATGACCCTGGTACCCCAATTTCCATTAAGATCCTGCCCAGACAGATCCCTGAGAGGGAGACTGTCCCTCTTTAGGCTGGCTAAGGAAGTGCTAGTAATCCACTTTCAAATGAGCCTCTGCCTGAGGGCAAGTCTTTTATTTTTGGTTGTTGTTTTCATTGTTAAGTGCCATGATGTCATGGAGTCATTTTGATTCATAGCAACCCTATATAGGGTTTCCAAGGAGCAGGTGGTGGGTTTGAACTGCTGATTTATGGTTAGTCCAGTGCTTACCCTACAGCACCACACCAGGAGTTCTGGTTAGTGGCTAGAAAGAACTCAATGGGGGCTGAATGTATGTCAAGTTTCAAAATGGACTTAGGGCTCCCATTGTAAATCATATTGTTGTTAGGTGCTGTTCTGACTCGTAGTGACTCTGTGTATGGTTTCCAAGGAGCAGCTGGTGAGTTTGAACTGCCAACTTTGCAGTTCAACCTGACCTTGCAGTCTGGTGCATTATCATGGATTTTATTAAAACTCCTTAATCATACTTAGATTGGTGTGCTTTCTTCTGCAGAAACTGGATTGCTGGCTCCCTTAGATGACAACTTGGTGTTTTTGTTTGCAAAAACCTAAAGCTGTAAATGGACTTCTGGAGTGGCACTGTAGGATCAGCACTGGACTACAAACCAAATGGTAAGCAGTTCAAATGCACCAGCTGCTCCTTGGAGATCCTAGACAAGGCTACTATGAGTCAGATCCGACCCCACAGCAGTTAACAACAAACAACAACAAAGCTGTAAGGAGTACTGGTGTGGTCCTGTTGGATGAGCATTGGACTGCTAACCCCAATGTTGGCATTTCAAACCCACCAGCCACTCCTTGGAAACCCTATACAGGTTCACTATGAGTCTGAACCAACTCAGTGGCACTTAACAACAACAACAAAGCTGTGAGTAGTTGGCAATAACCAGATTTAAAAAATTGAAATACCACTAACCTTAACAAACCATGAAATTCTGTTGGTTTTAATAGGTTTTTAAAATGTAAAGGCAGTGAATTTGCCAAAACATTAGATAAAACAAATTATCTAAGTGCTTCCTCAAACTAAAGGCAAGTTGTATTCTTTAGGATTCTATTCATTTGTTATGCACCAATTCGTCCTTTAGCTTGAGTGCCATTGTCTGCCTCTGCATGTTATTACTCTCTATTTACCTCCTGGTCAAGCCTCTAGTTCACCAACATTCAATATCCATATGGATCACCCATCTTACATTCATGCCTTAGAGTTATCCTTAAAGAATGGCCTCCAGCTTTAGCTGCTTCCTGAAAACTTTCCTCCATTTCCTTGTTAGATTGTTTTTCCTACTCCCCTGATTTCTAACATTCTTCTCAAGACAAGACACATTCTTTCTTGCTCTCAGGTGTCTTCTTCAACTTCATAGAGAAAACAGTAAATGTTTAAAAAGGACTCTCTTAATTTCCTGCTTTTGCAGAAACTTCATTAAGTTTCTCTGGATGAACAGCTAGATACCTTTCTAGGATAGTACTTTGTGTTAGGCCAATTCCTTCAGTACACTTAAGTATGGCGCTGTAGGATAAACACTGGACCACAAGATTGGTTTGAATTACAAGGTGAGCTATTCAAACTCACCAGCCACACCTTGGAAACCTTATACAGGGTCGCTATGAGTTGGAACCAGCTTGACAGCACTTAACAACAACAAACCCAAAATAATAATTTAAAAGTCCCTAGACCCCATGTCTCTTTCTAGTTGCAGCCCTTTGGAAAAACATTCTATGGTCACTCTCATCTCTTCTTTATCTCCACTCCCTTCTCAAACCACTGTCATCTGATTTCTGCTCCCAACCCCTCCAAATCTTCTAAAACTACTTTTCCTAGGGTTTTCAGTTACCCCTCAGTATTTCTGGGCTTTGTATACTCAACTCATGGTATTTGATATTGTTCACCACTCTTTCCTGGATGTTCTTTTAGTCTATGGCTTCTGTGACACTCTTTCGGTTCTTAGCTTTTCTTCTTTATAAATGATCCTGTCCTTGGCCTGCTGCTCAATGTTCTTTCGTTGAAAAAGTTCTAATCAAATTTTATCTCCCATGAGATTTTCCTCCACTTGGATGTTCCACAAGCTATTCAAACTCAGCTAAAACTCATCATCACTCCCCAACCTGATATTCCTTCTGTGTTTCCTAGCTCATGATTCTTACCCCTCAAACTTTATTCTGAAATCTGGATGTCATATTGTAATCTCAATTTTACTTTATGCTACACATAGTCAACATTCTACTGTTTCTATTTCCTTTAGTAATTCTCAAAATTAATCTCAACTGCTACTGCCTCGGTTTAGGTTTTCATCACCCACTCCTGTTTATCTGGTATTTTTGCCTTCCTTAATATCCCACAATATATTAAGAGTGATCTTCCTAAAACATAAGCCGACTCATGAGACTGACCTGTTTAAAGGCCTTCAGTTGTTGTTGTTGTTGTTAAGTACCGTCGAGTCAGTTCCAACCCATAGCGACCCTGTATATGGTTTCTGAGGAGCTGCTAGTAAGCTTGAACCGCCAACCTTGCAGTTCAAACGGCTTTGCAGTCTGGGGCATTAACCCACAGCGCCACCCCAGTACTCCAAAGGCCTTCAGTAGCTTACTATTATTTTTAGTTTCAACTCCTCAATGTTCAGCCTACAAAGCCTCTATGCTCCTCCAAAGAATCATAAATAACTGCACTTCCTTCAGCTATACTGCTTTTGCAATTCCTAATTGAACTGCAAGGTTGGTGGTACAAGCTCACCGGCTTCTCCTCGGAAACCCTATACAGGGTCGCTCTGGGTCGGAACTGACTCGACGGCACTTAACAATAAAAACAAGTGTCATGATGTTTAATTCAGTGCATATGCATGTGTTGTTTTCTATGCCTGGAGTGTCCTTTCCTATCTGCTTTGGCCACCTGGCTAAGTGTTCTTCATGACTCAGTTTAGGTATCCCTTCTTCAAGATCCCACAGTATATGGTGCTAAGCTGTGATCACCACTTTGCATCTTTCCTCACTACATCTAATTCTTTTATTGTTGTTAAGTGCCATCGAGTCAGTTCCGACCCATTGTTGTTGTTATGTGCCGTCGAGTCAGTTCCGACTCATAGCGAGAACCCTGTCCAGGGTTTCCAAGGCTGTAAATCTTTACGGGAGCAGAAAGCCTTATCTTTCTCCCCCAGAAGAGCTGGTAGTTTCGAACTGCTGACCTTGAGATTAGCAGCCTGATTCGTAACCACTACGCTACCATAGCGACCCTGTATAGGATTTCCGAGGAGCAGCTGGTGAGCTTGAACTGCCGTCCTTGTAGTTCAAACGTCTTTGCAGTGTGGCGCATTAACCCATAACGGGGGGTGGGGGTGGAGGGAGTGTGTGTGTGTGAGAGAGAGAGCACGCACGCACGGAGCACAGGAATTCAAATCTGCCTGCCACAGAGCGCCGCAGGGACGTGAAAGCCTTACAATTTAGCGCCAATCAGATTGCAAAATAAAGCATCACTTCCGTGGTTGCGCAGGTCGGGTGAGGCAGGCAAGTGACTTTTGCCTCCAGGCATATAGAAGTTCTCGCGGAGGTTATCAAGCCTTTTACTACTAATACGGAGTTGTTTTTCCGACTCATAGCGACCCTGTACTGGGTTTCCAAGGATCTTCTGTAGGGTTTGAATCACCAACCTTGCGGTTAGCATTCCAATGCTTACCCTGTAACGCCATTCCTGGACTCCTACGGTGGGAGGAGCAAACAAAAAAATCGCTTCCGGGGAAGTGAAAAGCCACGTTTTCTGGGCTTCAAGATGGAGGCTGCGACTGCGACTGCAACTGCGACTGCGACTGAAACTGATGAGCCGGTGAGACGCTGCTCTGGGACTGGATGAGTTGGGAAGTCGAGCCAAGTGGAACCTTGAACACTTTCTTTTTCTCCCCTGCCAGGTTTCCAGGGAGCTGGTGTCTGTGGCACATGCTCTTTCTCTTCCGGCAGAGTCTTACTGCAACGATGTAAGTATGACTTAAACACGACTCCCACTGTTTTTGCAAGGCTTGCCACTAAATTAGAACCCTCTTCCTCTACAATTTCGGCAAACCGTCTTCATGTCTGCTCCCAAATGCGCCTTCTTTCAATTTCTTTTCTTTTTGCTTCGCAAACTTAGTTTGCAATGGAAGTGGTTCCCAAACTTTGCTACACTGTAGCTTCACTTGGGGAGCTTTTAAAAATCCCGATATTGAGGTTGCATTCCATACCAGTTAAATCAGAAGGTCTGGAAATAGGTGCTAGGGAATCAGTAATTTTTCTAGAGATCTCTGGGTGATTTCAATGTTCAGCAAAGTTGCACTAACTTAATGGTGTGTTGGTTCAGAGCCTTAGGGAAAAAGCATGTGTTCTATTTTGAGAAATAAAGACACAACACATGAGCATAGTAATAACATCCAAATAGGAATGTGATATTTGCTAGATGAGTGGATCAGGTCATATAATCCAAAAGTATAACTGAAGAAGAGACTTAGGTACTGAGGCAGCAGGGGAAAATTGCATGTAGGAGTTTGAACTGATTAACAAAATATAGGTGGGCAGAGAACACAGCTTGACTGACGGGAGGGTATTGCAGGCAGGAAAAGGATGTGTTGGAAGGCTTGGAATTAGAAATGAAAATAGCTTTTTGTGAAGTTAGTGAAATCAGTCTAATTGGAATGGGATATTATAGCAGAACGGATGCTGGGTGCTGGGGATGGTTTATTTATAATCCGGCATATTTCATGGTATTGATTCATTGCTAGATGTTGTAGGATGGAAACACAACTGATGTTAATGACATGGTGTTGCTGTTAGTTACTGTCTAGTTAGTTCTGACTCATGGCAATCCCATGTGTGGTGAATAACACTGTTCCATAGGGGTTTCAAAGCTTTGACCTTTTGAAAACAAATTGCTGGGCTTTACTTTCCGGGTGCCTCTGGGTGAATGTGAACCACCAGCATTTTGGTTAGTTGTCCAGTGCTTAATTAGTTGTATCACTTAAGGTCTCTGATTGTGACATGCTACCCTGTTGTTAAGTGCCATCGAGTCTAAAAGGGTTAAAAACACTTTAAAAAGAGCTCTGGTAGCATAGTGGTTACGAATTGGGCTGTTAATCTAAAGGTCAGTAGTTCGAAACTACCAGCCATTCCGTGGGAGAAAGATGAAGCTTTCTGCTCATGTAAAGATTTACAGCCTCAGAAACCCTATACAGGGTCGCTGTGAGTCAGAACCGACTCCACATTACACAACCACCATCACCACTACCACAAACGTCAACATCTCTCTTCCCTTAAGGAGTCCTGGTATGGGGCTCTGGGTTAATGCACTGGACTGCAAAGTTGGTTTGAACTGCAAGGTCAGTGGTTCACACTCACCAGCTGCTCCTAGGAAACCCTATACAGGGTCCCTATGGGTCGGAACCAACTCGCTGGCACTTAACAACAATCCTTTTAAAAAGTGAAAAATAGGTTTACTTCCATTGATTTTAATAACTCAGTCCTGAGAAGGCAATTTATTCACTGCTTTATGTATTCTCGCTTATTTTCATTGCTGGGAAAAGATAGCCACTGATCCATTGTGTTTATTAGACTGTATGGGTAGCTTCTTTTGATTGTCAAAGGAATTATATTTCTTAAACCGAATCATCTAGTTTCTATCTTTTGAAAATAATGTCAAGTTTGATGGGCCTCTTGAACATTAACTAGGCATTCATAGACTTTCTTAATTTGTTGTCCAAATAGCAGGATTGGGAGAGTTCTGACCTTGTGTTCTTTACTCTGTTGCAGCCTGATATTGAGATGGCTTGGGCCATGAGAGCAATGCAACATGCTGAAGTCTACTATAAGGTGATTTGTCTGTCTTCTTCATTATTAAGCAGAATAAAACATAATTAGAGTGTGGTGGGACTCTTGTTGTAGGATCAGTACTGGGCTGAGAACCACAAGGTTGGCAGTTCAAACTCACCAGCTGCTCCTTAGAAACCCTGTACAGGGTCGCTATGAGTCAGAACTGACTCAATGGCACTCAACAATAACATAGTGTGTGATACTCTGCTAATCATGATTCTCAGTAAGTTAAGACAGCTGGGTTTTGGAAATGAGTTTTATTACTGTAAGAGCTTACCCATAGGAGAGAGTGAAACGAATTTGCTTTAGTAATGAGAATTTCTGCTTCATTGCCTGGTTTTCTTTTATGTTACTAAATGGCAAAGAGGTGTGTGGTCCACAGCAGGCACTTAATAAATGTTTGTTGAATGAGTGAACAATCCACAGAGGGCAACAGCCTATACTAGTGCCAAATTTGGTTTGAATTGGTGGAAGGGACTGTTTTATGACTGTTTAAAACTTTGTCAGAATCTAGGCTGTTTGCATATGCTACTGAAATCATCTGCCCTGAGAAATGTAAGGGTTTTCAGGGGGTAGGGGATAGAAGTGTAGCAAATTACAGACTTCTTGTTAAGATCCGTTGAGTCTATTTTGACTCATAATGACTCTGTACAGGGTTTCCGAGGAACAGCTGGTGGGTTTGAACCACTGATCCTGTGGTCCACAGTCCACTGCTTATTCTACAGAGCTACACCAGGAGTCGTAAATTACAGACTGTTGTTAAGTGCCGTCGAGTTGGTTCCTACCCATAGCGCCCCTATATAGGGTTTCTGAGGAGTGGCTGGTGAGTTTGAATGCTGACCTTGTAGTAGAGTACTTATCCTATAGCGTCACTCCAAATTATAGACTTCTTGTTGTTATGTGCCGTGGAGTCGGTTCCAACTCATAGCGACCTCTCATACTCACTGAGTATAGGGTTTCTGAGGCTGTAAATTGTTACGGAAGCAGAAAGCCTCATCTTTCACTCGCAGAACAGCTGGTAGTTTTGAACTGCTGACCCTGAGGTTAGCAGCCTGATTCGTTACCACTAGGCTACCAGACTAGTAACCGTATATTGTCTTATTGTCTGGTAGCTGATTTCATCAGTTGACCCACAGTTCCTGAAACTTACCAAAGTGGATGATCAAATATACTTTGAGTTCCGGGAAATTTTTGAGAAACTCAGAATCGATGTATTGGACCCAGAAGAGCTCAAATCAGAATTAGCTAAAGAGGTAAGAATATTACCTAACCTCTGATTAACAATTGCTAATTGTGAGTACATTTTATACATTTAAAAGTTTGTTGTTGTTTGTTTTAAGGAAAGTCTGTAGAGAACCAGAGTTCTATTCTAATCAGCTAATAAATTATAAAAGGAATGTTTATGGATTTTTTATGTTCATTGAATGTTTTTTTCTCCTCCTTGTTTGAGCCATTTCATTTCTACTAAACTCTTTCATTTGAGGAGAAATCTGTTTATAAGAGTAGATTAGCCAGAGGGCTAGATAGGGGAGTGACAGGGAGGTGTTTTAATTCTCTGGATTTAAGTTCATGTTACCATAGACAGTTGAAAAACATTGCTTACTTGATTAGCTTGTACTTCCACTGGACACTGAAACTATGTCAGTTAGTAACAAATTTACTTGAATATGGATCTTTGGCTTGTGAAAAACCTAAATTGTATCAGACATAGTGGCTGCAACAATGGGTTCAAACATACCTGCTGTTGTGAGGATAGTGCAGCACAGGCAATGTTTTGTTCTGTTATATATAGGGTCACTATGAGTTTGAGCTGACTCTATGACACCTAACATCAACAGGCTGTTACTGATCTTTGGAAAATAGTCATTATTTAATGGTTCCCATCCTTCTGTATTGTGTTAAAATATACCAAAACATTTGCCAATTCACCTTTTTTTTTCTATGTTGAACCAACATTGGTTAGTTATATTCATCATATTGTGCAGCCATCACTAGTATCTGTTTACAAGCTATCCCACCAGCATTAACAGAAACTCAGTGCCTTCCAAGCAAAAAGTCCCCTTTTTCCCCTCCTTCCCACCTTTGGTAACCACTACTAAACTTTGGTCTCTATACATTTACCTATTTCATAAAAGTGGGATCTTGCCGTATTTGTCTTTTTGTGACTGCTTTATTTCACACAGCATAATGTTTTCAAGCTTCATCCATGTTGTAGCATGTAGCAGGACCTTATTTTTCTGTATGGCTGAGTAATAGTGTATTTCCATTGTATGTATATACCACATTTTGTTTGTTTATTCATTTGTTGATGGACATTTGGGTTGTGTCTACCTTTTGGCTGTTGTGAACAGAGTTGCAATGAATTGGTGTGCTGAACTTTTTCTTAAAAATCTAATAGCTTTGTGACTTTGGGCCAAATTGTTGCTTCCTTTTTCTCATTTGTGTTTCAGTGGGTATGAACAGCCATTTTAGGCTGTGCTGGCCAATAACTTAAAAAACAAAACAGAATCTATAAGAAATCAAATTTTAATTCTGTAATGAAGGATTTAGTTATCTTGTCAGGTGAAGAAATTTTTTTGTGGTGTGAAATACCAGTCTGAAGACACAATAAGTAGCACAAAAACTCGATGCTAGTTTCATTCTCAGTAAAACTAGCTATTAACTTCAATCCTAGTCTCTTCAACTGGTTATTTTTCTTTCTGGAGAAATGGGAATCTTTTTTTACAGGTCTAACTATATTAGCTTCTTGCATTTGTCAACTAAGGCCTCGTTTTTGCATTGATAGAAGTGGAGACCATTCTGCTTGAAGTTTGATGGGATTATAGAAGATTTCAACTATGGCACTTTGCTGCGACTAGATTGCTCTCAGGGCTACACTGAGGAAAATACCATCTTTGGTGAGTTTCTTACCTTTAGAATGTTTCTGTATAAAGAGGAAGGATTTGGTTTTATAGATGAATCGGTGATGTAGATAATGTGGGGATCATCTTATTTGGTATATTTTTAAATATGTTGTTTCTTAAATAACTGAAAAAGTTAAATATTTTCACTCTCATTTAGTATAGTTAGAATTCCAGATTTCTGAAGCTTGTGGTTATACTTGAATGTTTTACATGTTAACTTTTAATCAGATTTCCAGTAAGCTTAGGGAAGTAACTGGGTTTAGGATGATAATCAGTTCTATTTGCCTTCCAGCTCCCAGAATACAATTTTTTGCTATTGAAATTGCTCGGAACCGGGAAGGCTATAACAAAGCAGTTTACACCAGTGTGCAGAGCAAAGGAGAAGAGAAAAGACCTGACAAAGAAAGAGAAAAAGAAGCCAAAAGTGGTGGAGAGAGAGGAACTGACAAAGGAGGAGAAAAAGAGAACACTGACAAAGGGGAAAAAGAGAAAAAAGCTGACAACAAAATCAACAAAGGCAGTGTAACAGCTGTGTAAAATAGGGAATAGCACTCTGGGAGCTGTAACTCAACTGTTTGCACAGACCCTTTTGGTTAAATGTATGTCCTTGTGTAATTGAAGAACATACAGAAGGACATCTTTGTAGCCTGATAATCAGGAGGGACTCTGGTCATTCTCTTGTATGAACTGTCTTATGTGACGCTATAGGATAAGCACTCGACAGGCAAGGTCGTTTTGAACTACCAGGTTGGCGGTTCAGATCCACCAGCCGCTCCTCGGAACCTCTATACAGGGTTGCTATGATGAATCAGAATGATGGCACTAAAAAACAACATAGGTCTCTGTTAGTATGACTCTACTAGTGAGGTCTCTGTTATTGTGATTTCTATAGATTGTTTCTTAGTGTATTATTTTTTTGGTACTCAACACTGATCAAGTGAGAAATATTGTAAATAAATTGCTTTAAGTTCTTATGAGTATAGCGTGCTTGACTTGGAAAAGGTATTTAAAATTATTTGATTCTATTTTTTCAGGTATATAATGCCTGCAGTTATGTTTTACATAAAACATTTATTGCCTGTTCCTTAATTCTTTTCATTGTTTTCTGTGTTGAAGTTCCCACCTATCTGTTAAGTAGTTGTAAATGATACAGGGATTAGAAATCCTTATATATGAATTGACTCTTGTCCTTTGAGTGACTATAGTTCTCTCTCTTCCTTTGGTATATCTGACATAAGATTTGATAGTGCTCTATAGGATAACAGTATCTTGAGCTTGTCACAATGTGATTGTAATTCATATTAGTGGAGGAAGAGAGGCCCTACTTCAATAACTGCTTCTCTTTAGGTATCCAGGTTGTAACCTAAAAGCTAGAAATTATAATAAACATAAAGCCTGGTGGAGTGACTGCCCTTTTATGTGTAATGGACAGTTGTGTACATTTTTACATTAATGAAAACTGAACATATTTTTTTAAATACTGTATTTTTGGTGAACGTATATACAGCAAAACCAGTTCCCATTTCAATTTCTACACAGGATGTTCAAGGACATTGGTTACATTCTTCACATTGTGTCAGTGTTATCATTATTTCCATTCTAGTTCCCTTTCTATTTAGTCTCATTGCCCCAAACTTCTCATCTGTATTTTAGAGTAACTGTTAATCTATTTGGTTTTATATAAATATTTTTTTTTAAATTTCGTGTTTTCGGTGGAGGATTACGTAGCAATTTAGGTTCCTAGTCGATTTCTACACAGGTTGTTCAGTGATATTGGTTACAGTCTTCACAATATTTTCATTATTACTATTCTGGTGGTTCCATTTCCATTATTCTAGGTTTCCTTGTCCCCTTATAGTCTCATCTTGTTTTAAAGTAGTTTTGACCATCTGGTGTCATATAGGTGATTTTTTAAAGGAGCACAGTGCATACAAGTAATATTCGTTATATTTTGAGCCAATTTGTTATTTAGTGACCAGGTGATCTCAGTGGTTAGTTTTGGTTTAAGGTTAGAAGAGTATACCAGGACAGTAGTGTCAGGGGAGTTCTCTAGTTTCAACCAGTCCAGCAGGTCTGTTTTTTTTTTTTATGAATTTATTTAGGAACTTTCTTCCATTCTATCAGGGTTCATCGATTGTGACCCTGATTAGAATGGTTGGTAGTGGTTGTTGGGTGCAGTGTAGTGAATTATTTATTATGTCTCTTCTATCCATGTCTTTGTAACTCCAACCAAACAACTCCTTCCTGATGGGTGTGGGTAAGAGAAAGTGGAGGAAGATACTGATAAGATTATATGTTTCAGTTGTAAGTGCTTGTTAACAGGATTAATTGTGATTGTTAAAACTTGGAACTCTAACAAAGGGATTGGTCGATTTTACTATCCTGCTAGGTATTAAATGAATCAATTTATTGATGTGAGTGGGCATTGTGCTCCTTTGCTTGACTAGTCAAGCTCACCCCCAGTTGACCTCTGATTCTTTAGCTGGTGATTTGACTTGCTTCCATAGGTTAGTAGTCCAAGTTGGTCTGAGTGAGGAGAATCCTCTAGACTGACGTCTGAACTTCGGATTTGGGAGTTGATAGTCTCCAAAATCATGTGAGCCATTTCCTGGATGACCCATAGGTTCTGTGAAACATTGCAGTAAGTTGTGGAGCCCTGGAACTTGAGGGACAACACTGAAGAGAGGATTTTGTTGTTAAATGCTGTTGAGTAAGTAGGCTCCGACTCACAGTGACCCTGTATAGGGTTTCCGAGAAGCGGCTGGTGAGTTTGAATGCCAACCTTGCAATCCAGTGTACTAACTCACAGCACCACGACAGGATTATTGTTAAGTGCCGTCAAGTTGGTTCCGACATATAGCAACCCTGTATAAGGTTTCCAAGGTGTAGCTGGTGAGCTTGAACTACAGACCTTGTGGTTCAAACCGATTTTACGGTCCAGTGCATTAACCCACAGCGCCACACCAGGATTAGTGGTTGATAATCAGGTTATGGAGTGGTATGTTGTTGTTAAGTGCCGTCGAGTCGGTTCCGACCCATAGTGACCCTGTATTGAGTAGTATAGCACTTAAGAAAAGTCAGACATTTGGGGTGTCTTTAACCTCCACCTCATAGAGACCAGCCTCGTGTTGATTCTTCTAAAAGAAATTATTCTTGCAGTGGGTACCATCTAGTTCTGGTTTCAGGGTAGATGAGGCTGTAGTTCATGTAGACTATTTTTCCTGTACACTGTTAAGTATATAATTTTTTAAAATAGTACAGTACTCAAGGGTTACATTCTTTAATTTTTGAGCTTAAGTAGTTAAAGGAGTCCTGGTGTGGTGCTGTAGGATAAGCCGTACTGCTTACTAACCATAAGGTTGGTGGTTCAGACCCACCAGCCACTCCTTGAAAACCCTATTGTCCTTAAGTGCTGGTGAGTCCGTTTTGACTCATAGCAACCCTATGTAGGGTTTCTGAGGAGCAGCTGGTTAGTTTGAACTGCCAACCTTTTGGTCAGGTGCTTATCCTATAGCCTCACACCATAAGTCAGAACTGACTTGACATCACTTAAAAACAACAACAATAATACTTAGTTATAAATTGACTTCAGGGGATAGTTTTACTATAGAGACTACTGCGGGGCAATAGTCTAAGGGATTCCTCCAGCTTCAATAGGTCCAATAAGTAGATGCTTTGAGAAGTTGAAGTTTTATTTCACATTTTTCATCCTTCTGTCAGTATCTGTCTATTGTGTTCTTTGATCAGAATGTTTGGTAGTTGTAGGCGGATGCCATCTATTTCTTCTGGTTTCAAGGTTAAGGGAGGCAGTGGCTTATGGAGACAATTAGTTCTGCAAAAAAATGACACCAACCATCCCCCCGCAGAGCACTCAGTTGGGTTCAATAATTAACTGCAGTTCCCACATAGAACTCTATATACCGTACTCATAGTTATGGGTTTAATAGGGAAGTTAACAGGTTGTAATTCAGGGTCAGAAATGTACAGGGCTCAGGTCTTCCAGCTTGTACCCAGAAGAACATTGCCAGGGCAGTGTTACAGAATTCTTTTAGGGCAGCTGATACATGTCTACAGAGCACATCACTGGTATAATACTCGTCCTGAAGGCATGCAGCTCTATTTCCATGGGTCAGAAAACCTAGTTCCCCAAATTAAGTTCCTGGAGGCACCCTATTCTGCAAGCAAGTCTCCTGACCAAAGTGACTCATGTTTACTTGCTTAGTAAGCTGTTCCAGAAGCCCACTACTGTGTCTTGTGCTCTGACTCAGGATTCCATCCAAGGTTCTATACAATACAAAGGCTCCGCAAATAGCCTATATTACTGGGCACGTTCTATAACCCCTTTTAGGTATTCCAATCAGTTATAGGCTGAAGATGGGCTTATAAGCTTTCTGTAATCATGTTTCCCAATATTCCTTTCTATTGCACTCAAGTGTCTATTTTATAGCAGTAGGCAAGGGAAACCAATATCCATAAGACAGTCAAGCATCTTAACATTATTTCCCCTCTTACCCATTCAGGCTATGCCTTGATCCCTATATCCCATAGTCCTATTGTTTCAAGTTTAAATCTATATTACTATTTACCTCTTACCCATTTAGCCCATGCAAACCTATTTAAGTGTTTCCCTGTCTACCTTGTTATTCCATCCCCTACCCCCTTGTGTATTACCCTCCCTTTTCTTGTAAATTGCCCTCCCCAACCCCTGAGCTATGATGTGACTATCCCTTAACCTGTGCTCTACTATCCCCTCCCTCCTGCCCCTGGTAACCAACAAATAATTTTTTTTTCCCCTTAGTATGGGTATCTTTTCTTAACCTTTTACAATAATGGTCTTCTGCAATATTTGTCCTTTTGTGACTGACTAATTTCACTCAGTGAGAAAAGAGTGCTCCTTAGAGACCAAGATGGCCAAACTTCGTCTCTCATACTTTGGACATATTGTCAGGGGGGAACAGTCGCTAGAGAAGGGTATCATGCTTGGTAAGATGGAGGGTCAGAGAAAAAGAGGAAAACCCCCAACGAGATGGATTGGCCAGGTGGCAGCATTGATAGACCCAAGTGTGGCAACAGTAGTGAGGTTGTCCCAGTATCGGACATTGTTTTGTTCTGCTGTGCATAGGATCGCTATGAGTCGATGGTACCTAACAACAACAACAAATTTCACTCAGCATGATGTCCTCAAGGTTCATCCATGTTATATATGGTTTGTAGCTTCATTGTTACTCTTAAAGGTAGCATAATATTGTATTATGTGTATATACCAAAGTTTGTTTATCCATTCTTCCATTGATGGACACTTAGGCTGTCTCTGTCTTTTTGCTGTTGTGAATAGTGCAGCAATAAACATTGGTGTGCATATATCTACTCATGTTCTGGCTCATATTTCTTGTGGATATATATCAAGTAGAAGAACTGCTGGATCATAAGATATTTCTATTTCTCACTTTCTGAGGAAGCACTAATTTGGTTGAACCAATTTACAATCCCAGTAACAATGTAGAAGGTTCCCAGTCCCTCTACATCCTCGCTAGCAT